GTAAGGCTTAGTTCCACAAGCAACCACTCCGTGAAGGCCGCCAAGCACTTGGACATCTTATGCTTCGTGGATGCGGCAAAGCCTGCCTGCAAGTCCAAAGCACCACGAGGCGCGCGCGCAGGTGGCCCCGGATGAGGCTCGATGTCCCCGCCGAGCAGAAGCAGCAGGCGGAGCCAACGAGCAGCAAGCTTTGGCACCCGAGAAGCAGCCGTCACAACGTCAAAGCGGAACGTGTCCCCCCTGCAGAGGTCATCCAGCCACAAGGGTCGCTCGCGAGAGGGCGCATCCACAGGCCTGTTGCGAGAGGGCCCATCAGCACGGTTATCGCCAGAGTAGACGTGGAGACCACCCGGGTAGAGTGCGGAGCCCAGCACATACGGAAGCGTTCCCTGCAGCACGTGGCAAAGAGCCGGGCTGCTAGAACGTCCCTTCGCAGAAGCCCCTAAAGTGACCCTGCTATCGATTAACCCAAGAAGCCTAGACCTAACATGCCTCGTGGAGCACCACTTTAGCCAAGTCCTATAGACACGCAACTCCTGAACGTTGATGTGCCCGCGCTCGCGGAAGCGGTACCTGAGCAACTCGACAAAGCGAAGGGACTGTGCCAGCTCCCCAACCCACTCAGGGTCCTCATGGAATGCACGGAGTTCAGGGGAAGTCTCGGGATCCTGAGGGCCTAGACCCGAAAGGGTTAGGGAGTGAAGGGTGTTGATGAGTGCGGAATAAGGCATAGAGGGGCCTAAACCATCCTTAGCTAAGCGGCTTGCCGAGGCGAGCTGGTGAGCCAGAGGCAAAGGGCAAATCGATGCAAATTGTGACACGCACTCGCCTGCCCGAGGGTTTCGGCCGAACACCGCAGCGGCTGAAGGAGAGCAGCTAGTGGAAAAGCGCTCGGCATCAGCAGAGCCAAACGAGCCCGACACCGGCCAGTGAGGACAATCCGCTGGGCATGTGCACGAGTTTCCAAGCTTAGTGAGCCAGGGTTTGTTGTGGAACCATGCGGAGGGGCGCTTGAACGGTGCACCGTAGCCGCAAGCACAAAGACGGGTCAACGCACAGCCGAGCCCAACGAGCCTGACGAAACAGTCCAAGTAAAACATCACCGAGCTGCCAGGTTGTTCAACACTGAAGAAGCAGCCCGAAGTGATGACGACGGACATAAGGAAAGCAAGCCGGCGCGCCAAGCGATTGTCCGAAGAAGTGCAGGGGCAGGTGGCATCGAAGCCGGCCGGCCGGGTTTTAGAACGCAACCGGGGGGCCTGCAGAGTGCCAAAAGATCGGCAACCGGGAGAGGCATGCCACTCCCGGATCACACCACGGAGAGCCAATGCAAGGAGCTCCCGGAAAAGCCCCACATCCGCAAGGTCAGAAAACCCAAGCGCCGAACCTGAAGGAGTAGCGAAACCCGGGTGGCAGTGTAAGCCCGCCTCAGCATGAGCAACAGACCAAGTAGGCCCACGCCCGAAGAGCTCGATGGCATCCCAAAGGAAGCCCTCAGTCAAAGGCCGAGGCAGCGGGAAAAGAT